ACCATGGTTAGCCCACCAAGATAAAGGTTCCTCATACCCCATAGCATCAATCACATGAGGCTCGCCAAAGTAACCATTCCCACAACAAAATGCCCCATACTCCAAAGAAGCTTTCTTTAAATCATTTGGATCCTTGAAATATCTTTGAAAGCATTTGAGCCTATTTTGTGAAATCTTTATATCTTCATTAGGAGCAAGTCTTCTTAACCCGTTGCTTTCACCTTTAAGCCACGACTCATGATAATATTTCGGAACCAATGAATGTGCCATGCAATGCAATGGAGTATTACTCTTATTCCACCTTGCCACAAGAATTCCTTGAATTGTAGCAAAAAAATTCGATTGGCCGGTAATAAGATCTTTCCCCTCATGCTCAAATACAATCACCTTCACCTTTTCAATCATTGTATCCCACATGTCATAAATAAGGTGCAATTTTGGACAATCAAGGTCGGCACTTCTAAGCATGGATACAATTGGCTCCGTACACCTCAACAAGTATTCAATAGTATCCCACCATTCATCATCCATTACAAGAGATTTTATTTCGCGCGCTTTAGCTTCAATTACTTTATATCCTTTATAATTCGTCCATTCGTCATCCATCACCATTTTTTCCAATGACGATTTAACTCTATGAATACGAGAAGTCATAATAATATGGGAAGCAAATCTTGTTTCCGCAACTTTCAACAAAGATAACTCCGAATACTTTTGGAAAATGGCAAGCGCCATGTCGTGATTCACTGCAAAATTCTTTAAGCTACTCACTTGACCATTCAACTTTAATATCCATTCGCAATTTTTAAAGTGAGTTGATTTTTCTGAAGGTTGACACATACTTTTTAAAGCAAGATTCAAACAATGAACAACACATGGTGTCCAAAATATGTGCGAAAAAGTTTGCTCAACAATAGAACCGGCAAGCTTCATATTACCTGCATTATCAGTGATAACTTGGACAACTTTCTTTGCATCGACATCTTCTATGGCTTTAATAAATAACTTAGCAATATATTCACCATCCTTAATAATCCCACTTAAATTGATTGATTTTAAAAATATTGGTCCGCCACTAGATGCTCCCATTATATTTATCAATGGCCGCCTTTTAACATCTGACCATCCATCCGAACAAATCGACAATCCTTTTCTTTTCCATGTATCAACACTTTTTGTTGGTCTTGATATGCCTTTTCCTTTTTGTTTCACAGCTGTTGATGAAGCCATTTAAAGGGATATTG